GATATTCCACCGACCAGTGCAGCACGTGTCCTCGAAATAAAAGGGGTGCCCCCCCCCCCCCCGGTCTATCCATTATCTTAATAAGATCCCATTACTTCCCATGAAGACCAAATTTAGCCAGTTTTTTCAGCTTGTAATGTCAATTATATTAATTGATTTTTCACCCCCAATATACATTGATTTCTAAAAGATCAAATTATATTATGGCACGTAAACGAAAGGCCATTGCCCGAAACGTCACAAATTATACATTTTCCCTTTTACGGTCACACAGTGGTATTGCGGAATGTGTTGAGCGTTTGTTTATTTGTGCACCAGGGCCAATGCAGCATCAGCATCACCACCAGACCACTACGCAGGAGCCATGCGTATGCGTGGTTTTTCTTCCTGGTTCCTACTGTTGTGCAGCAGGAGACTAAGAAATATTATCGTCATCATGAATTCGATTATTCGGTTATTATTGTTAATGTCACCAAATGATTGGGCGTGATATTAGGGTCGCGAAGGTATATGCGACCATACTTCACCCCGCCGGTCAGTGGTGGGGGTCTCGGGGAGCGGTGGTGTAGCGGTTAGCGCGCTGCGCTGCGCTGCGAATCCGGCGGCCAACACCAGTGACGATCACCAGTGACGATTATCCGAACCGGTCCCTTTCCTCCCCTAGGTCGACTCAGCCTCAAATGAGTACCAGGTGCGATGTGTAAACATCGCTACTTGGGAGACAAAGGCGGCCGGGTGTGGTGCTGGCCACCCACCCCATCGTGTACCGTGCCGGCCTTCATAGCAGCTCGCTAACAGCACTTGCCCCAACAGTCTGTTCAGGCTACACGGGGGGATCTGTCTTTGTAGCACACTCAGAGAACACAGTTGCACGAGTTGGTGCGAGTGGCCCTGTGCGCGTGTCTTGTCGTTGCAGCTCTGGTGGTACAAGAGCGGCGTGCTGGTGAGTCTTCCGATAGCACAACCCACTCGCGTGACCGGCGTCACACCGCGGGGCAACGCATCTGAGTGGCGCGTCGCCCCGCGTGGCGGAGAACGCCCTGCGGAAGCTGACACCGCAGAACTACCTCCGAGATCCCGTTAATTGTAGTATAAACATTACTCGGCGAGGATTACACAGAGCATGAATCGTCCCCTACCGCATCACAATCGCAACTGTTAGAACCGTATTGAGTAGGAGCGCGTTTTGGATTCCAACATTTCGGATGTTGGATTTCCCGCTCTTCAAGGACGCGTTTGCATATTTTTGCCAATGACCCCCACAAAAGACCAGCCCATCACCTCCCGTCCAGCGGCACGCGTCGGGGAACCGATGCGTGACCCCCCCACCTACCTGCCCGAACTACTACAATGACTGTCAACCGCGTGATCCAAATAGTCGAGTAAGGGAACCAAAACTGTATCGGTGTGCCGTGCGTGTGGCCGCAGGACGAGGGCAAGGGGTGGCTGCTCGTGTCCCTGGGCCTGGCCGCCGTCTACCAGGCCCTCGTGTCGGCCGTGTTCGCCGTGCCGTGCCCCTCCAACCACACGGCCACCACCGCCGCCCCGGCCACCACCACCACCACCAAACACCCGATGTTCTAGGCCACCACCACCACCAAACACCAGATGTTCTAGGCCACCACCACCACCAAACACCAGATGTTCTAGGCCACCACCACCACCAAACACCAGATGTTCTAGGCCACCACCACCACCAAACACCAGATGTTCTAGGCCTCGGCGGGGCTGTTGGCCACATTCTGGACGCGACCGCAACTTCATTTCACGTGAGCCGCCGCGGCCACACGAGGCCCCCACTTCGAGACTGCCGCAGACGACCTCCACCCGTCACCGCGAGCATCTCCCCTGCGTCGTCGTCTTATTATTATTGTTGTTGTTGTCGCACGGCTGCCGATGTCGATGCAGAAGCGACAACTGCAATTTCACATTCAGCTGGTCACGCCAGACAGATCAGTTTCACACGCAGCAGTTGTAGTAGGAGGCTTTCGCGAGCAATAGCATCCATAATACAGGTTTTGTTGGTGAGATCTCGTAAATGTATAAATGTGTCGTTAAACCCGCCACCACCCGACACAGCCAACTAGTCAGGGTTGTCACCTAAACAGAACGTGGCCAATTCGTCACAAGTACAGCACTAACCGGTGTGTTGGAGAGCGACATCCATTTTTGGCTGTCGCCTGATGAAGCTGGTTGTAATTACTGGCGAAACGTCGTACTCAGATTGTAAATGTTGTGGCTTGGCTCTCCAACACACCGGTGTGCTGTACTAGTATACTACTATATACACTACTTTATACACTACACTATACACGACTATACACTACTACACTATACACTACTATACACTACAGTATACACTACTATATGCTACGCTACTACACTATGCACTAGTGCTGTACTAGTGACGAATTGGCCATGTTCTGTTTACGTGACGACCCTTACTAGTTGGCTGTGTCGGGTGGTGGCGGGTTTAACGACACATTTATACATTTACGAGATCCAACCCAAGTGTGTGTCGGCTGCACTGATCATCGGTCTACTGCAGGGGGCGCATATTCTTGACGCGGCCAGCGACGCTGCGATGACTGCGAAACAAAACAATTGTCTCTGGGGTAGGAAGTGTTATTTCCTAATTGCTTATGCCTCAAAAGTACAGAAAGTGGCGATTATTCCCTACGAACTTTGCTTTTGTGACCAGGATAGTGCTATTTTGAAATGTTAATATTTTCAATGAGAAAACGTGGTGTGCATTTGGGGGCCGTCCATAAATGACGTCACGCACCTCGGGGGGGGGGGGGGTGGTCAGACATTTGTGACGAGGGGGGGGGGGGGTTTGAGAAATGTGACGTCACATCAAAATGCGCAACTTTAAATAAATATAGACACCACGTTCTACTTAATGAAATAGACTTTTTAATGTTTTCTCCTACAACATCAGAGGGCAGCGCCACATAAAATACGCACTACAATGACAATAGTTTAAAGCGATTTGAAGCATGTTTTATTTTTTGGGGGGGGGGCAGAGCTTTGTGACGTCATATTTGAGGGGGGTCTGACTTTGTGACGCCGTGTGAAGAAGGGGGGGGGGTAAAAATCGTCCAAAATCGCGTGACGTCATTTATGGACGGCCCCTTGTCTCTTTCCTTCACACAAAGTCCTGGTCACGAAAGCAAAGTTCGTGGAGCATAATAGCAACTTTCTATACTGTTTAGGCAGGAGCCATTAAAAAAATAACACCTCGCACCCAGGAACAAAACGCGTGTTACACCGTGTGCTCGTCTCCGCGTCGCCCTCGAATCGCCTCTGCGAGGGCGGCCTGGGCTATGGTTGAGCGTCGTTCTTTGTCAGCGGCGCAGCGGAGCGCGTCGAGGCGCGTGGCTCGCCCGCCGCCGCCAAACGTCCTCACAGTGCCACGCGGACCTCGGCACGGAACGAGTTCCACTCCCCTGCGAGAGGGGAGTGGAAGAGACTCGCTCGGAGCACGGAGGAAGGTTGGTCCTCTGAAATTTGACTTGAAACTTTCGTGACTGCAGGAATTCGTATTCTTTGGTTCTTTCGGTAAAGTCACGTGGATAGAGAAAATAATAAAAAAAAGATTAAAAAAACCCACGACGTTTCGATGGTAACACAAGCGGTCATCATCAGGGAAAAAAAAACACCGCTTGTGTTGCGATCGAAACGTCGTGGTTTTTTAATCTGTTGTATGTTCTCCATCTACGCGACTTGACCGAAAGATCCAAAGGAAAAGTCGTCTGGTTTCAGGGTAGACTTTCACCACCGCAGGCGTTGTACACTTACCCGTACTCACCCTCAATCACCCCCTCATTCACTATCACCAGCAAACCATCACCCAACCACACATCCACTCACTCACCCATTTGTCGACACCCACTCGCTCACCGTCACCAGTCCACTCACTCACCCACTCCTTCCGTCCACTCAACCATTCGCTTGCTCACCCCCCCACCCATTCACGTAGCCAAGCAAATCGCCACGGGGTGCACACGCGTCTGTCCTGAGAGCTCCCGCTCGCTCTCAGACGACTCGAAGAGCCAATTCTCACGACCACATTCAGCGACTTGAGATTCGCGACGTTTGGCTGGAAACGTCGACGAGCATCTTCAGGAAGTCGTTTAAATACTAATGTAATCAGACTATTTATACTGCAGGAATCCGTCAGTCAGGTCACGTGATAAGCAGAGAGGGGGGTGTGGGGCAAAGGTTATAGAGGGGGCACGTGAGGTAAGCTCGGGAGCTCACGAGTAGGTTCCAGAAGGGGGGCGTGGCCAGGAGGATAAAAGGGGACCCCGAGCGAAGGTTCGGGGCTGTTGTTTGGAGTGGGATCCCGTAGGGCTGCTGCAGTCTTCGTCACCGTCTTCACCTTCTCGGCGTCGTCAGCCAGGCAGTCTCTGTTGGCTGTCCTGGCTGAAGTGTAGTTACCCCTTGTACCCTGTGAAGGCTATTCCTAGTGTCTGAGGGTATCGATATATTTGTACAAGTTCACAATCAAAAGGCGCTAAATAAACAGAGAAAGAAGCTAACACGTTTCTCGACTTGAGCCATTGTCCTGAGAGCTCGGGGGAGAGAGGATAACGGTGAGTGGAGGTTGAGCATAATGTGGCGAGTGGATGTTCGTTGTTGCGACTTGCAGTGGTGGTTCAGTGTAGTTGTGGTAAGTGGAGGAGTGATGTGCATTGTGACTCGAGTGTGGTGGTGGTTGGGCGTGGTGTGGCGAGTGGATGTCGTTGTTGCGACCTGCAGTGTGGTGGTGGTTGAACCCAGTGTGGTGAGCGAGTGTTTGAGCAATGTGCGTTGTGGCCTGCAGTGGTGGTGGTTGAAGTGTGGCGATGTTTGTTGTGCCATGCAGTGTGGTGGTTGAGACGGTCGCGGTGTGTGTGGTCTCGACCGAGTCTTCAACACGGATGGAGGGGGCAGCAAATCGACGAGGAAAGTTCACAGGAAGCCACGACGCACAAAAAGCTCCAACGCCGTGGTGCTGCTGTTCACCTTTTTGTTGTAACCTTTAATTTCAGAAATGTGAACTGTACACATCCCATTCATCTCAACGCAAGCACAATTTCAACTTCTCGCACGCGACTCCGGCTGGTAGTCAAACACAATCACAGTATGAACAAGGGCATTTGTTGCCACCCACACACTCCCCCACCCCACCCTCACGGGCTCCACGGAACAAAAGTAAATCGGTCCCTCGCCCTCATCTCATCCCTTTCCGGAGAGAAGTCCAAAACAAAAGCCAAGAACCGAGGGGAGGAGCGGGGAGCGTCGCTGCGGTTTAAGCCGAAGAGAGCCAACACTTTTTCCCCCCCATACAGCAAGCTGCAGGTGCACGCGTTCAGAATCTTGAGAAATTCCACGCAGACTCGCAACCCTTCCGGGCCGTTTTGGCACGCACCGCTGTTTAAAAAAAGTTTTATTAACTTTTCAAGAGTCAAGAAAAAAAATTGCTGCTTCCAAATTTTTTTTTAAGGGAGTGCATTTGCACGACAGCAACCCCTCCTCCTCATTGTGGCGAGGAGCACGAGCCACCGCCACACGCCACGTGCCCTTTGACCTGTGCGGCAGACCCACCGCCCCTCCCGTCGGAGAGGCAAAGGTCAAGGTCGCCAGCGCTGCTGTCGACTTAGCAGAGGAAGACGACGGTTGTTGGTTTCCTCCGTGCAACTCATCTACGGAGGACCGGGCACGGCGAAGCACGCCGTCGCACGGATGGATTGGCAACGCACCAAGACAACCCCCCCCCCCCCCCCCGGCCGGTGCTCGCTAGGAACACAACGCGCGCTCGCAGCCGGCGCCTCCGGACTAACGGGAAAGGCCGGCGGACTCACCCGACGCAAAGGGATCCCCGGGGGGGGGCGTCTCGACGCCACCACCGCGTGATGGCGAGGCCCGTCCACTCGCAATTCACGAGCATGCAACTTCGCAGACGCGCATGGACAGAAATGAAACTTCCGCTTAGAAATATTCACGCCGCAAAGTTACGGGAGAATCCACGACATCCTGCGACCAAGATGCCACCGAGTCCAGGATTAGTCCCCGATTGGCCACTGGTCACAAGAGGCTGAGAAATATGACCAGGTAATTCAATTTAACTCGCGTCAATGGCACCTGACCTGGGTTGGATTTCGTTCAACCAAAGATTTCGCGAGCCCGTGTCGCCTGAACGCGCCACAATTTTTTAAATTAAAATTTGCATTGGGCGTGAAGGCACGCGGCACCTCTCGGTAAGAGCCAAGTTCCGGGGTTACGAGATAAAAAAAAATACAAATCATTTAGCACCTCCACTTGCAATGACATTAACTGACTGAACTGTAAAAAAAATCCACAATATCGATAGAAACTTCTGTGAGCGCGCACGCTCGCGCACACTTCTCCATGCTGGTTGGGAGGCAGGTGGCTTCAAATGTCCTCAATTCCACACCGCCGATCGTTGCAAAGACACGAGGGGGAGAGAGGCTCGTTCCTGCCGGGCTTAAATCAAGGCGGAACGAGCGCAGGAACCAAATCCAAAACAAGCACGTTCCAAAAAGAGTCCTGCATCGAGGCACAGTAACCGACCTTTCAGGAAGGATTTGTGGAAGATGCCGGACTGGGAGTCTCAACGAGGCACAGAATCATCCTCCTCCCCACCGCACGACGGCTCCTGCGATGCGAGGAGCTTGCAAGAGAACAGCTCCACCCCCAAGTTACGTCAACGTTTAAGCGTCTCGGGTGGATTCATCGGGTAAGATGGGGGGGGGGGGGGCAATCTTGGGACTTGGCGAACCAAAAAAAAATTTACTGTGAAGTTAACACCTTCAAAAAGGGGAGTTCGTTTCTGAAATGCACTCCTTTTAAAAACTTCGATAAAGAATCGTTCCGGCTTTAGTTTGTTTGCGAGTCGAGCGCCATGCTTTTGATAGGAAACGGTGAAACCGAGCAAGCGAGAGACTCTGCACGGACGTTAGCCAAGGACACGCGCCCATATCAACTACGAAAAAGTTTCGCAATCGTACATTTCGCCAAGTCCATTTGCAGCCGTATTCCATGGAGGTCGTTTTGTATAGCAATAAAAAAAACAATTGCCATGATTGAGCGACACATTTTTTAGAACAAAAAAATTAATCAAAGTCAAAACTTGCGATGGCACCGTTACACGCCAGAACCGACACGGCACCATGGCCACATTTCCTTTCGAAGCCAAGTTGTCTTTAAACTTTGGGTTCAAATTAAAAAGTAGACTTTAATCGTCTGCTCGGTTGAATAAACTAGATTAAAAAAAGAGTAGAGAGCAGACACGATTACCTTAAGGCAACAATATAAGCGCAGGAGTAGTAGCATGCTTTCTAAAGTACTATAATAACGTGTCCGTTTTAATGCCAACTTTTCATGATTTTTTTTTCTTAGAACACAAAACATCGGTTCGCCTTGCACGGGGGCGACTGAAACGGGGTGCAAGCCAGACGAGCGCGGTGGAAACTGTCGAGTGGAACAGCTGGGATCTTCAGCGAGACATCCATTTAGATGTCCATCTCGAATTGAGCATCCTCCCCTGCATGTCGGAATGCAAACAGGGAACACAGAAAGAGACGACCCACGTCAGTCAGTGCGCCAGGGCGTGGCCCGGCAAACACAGCACAAACACAGCCGTCGGTGCTCTCACACACACAAAGATATCCACGTATTGCCTTAACGGACTGTCGGGGCAAGTGCTGTTGGGCGAGCACCTGCGAAGGCCGACACAGAGCACACGAGTGTGGGTGGACAGCGCCACACTGCACAAGATACTAATTTGAGGCCGAGTCGACCTAGGGGAGGCCCAGGACCGACTGGTGTTGGCCACGAGGTGGAATCGTACTCAGGTCACCAGGTTCGTAACGGTGTGCTGACCACAGAGTCACTGCTGCCCGCAGCGCACAAACAAATCCGATACGCACCCACCCACAAAAACAAAGACACACACACACAGAGCCCACTTCCTCGAGAGAAGCAGGGGCAGAAGAACCCCCGGACACCGGTGATGCAAGCGGCAAGCGGAACATAGACAAGCGTCCGGCAGCACAACGACACTGGCAGCAGCTCCACAAATAAAAAAACAACGGCTCAGACAAATACTGGAGTAATTATTGGCCTCCCCCCCTCCCCCCGTGGAGGCAGAGCCCGTTGTGAGTTTTGTTCACAGATGGACGCATGGCTCAAGAGGCCGGAGCACTGAGCTGGGACTGTGATCCTGGGTTACGATACAGGTTTCAGCCGCCGGCGATTAACGCGGGGCTACAAGCGTTGTGGGGCGATGTTCTCAGCCTGGGTCACCCATGACTGCACAAAATAAAACCCACAACGTGAAATTCGGTTCTGCACTTAACTTGGCCAAAGTGGAGCGCTGAGAATTTAAAAAATATATAGGTTTTGAATATCGGTGCCGTGGATGAACGTCGTACTCTGTGACAAGAGCGGGTGGGAAAATGCTGCCCGCCCCCCCCCCCCCCTAGGATGCGTGGGCCAAAAGTCAGGTGAAAGAATTTCAGAGCCAACTCTGCAGTATCCGCTTCTGCACGGGGACGTTGGGTCTCATGACGGCGATACCGATGGAGCAACGGGGATGAAACATTGCGAATCACAGCCTGGAATCGAACCTGGGTGTAGAGGACTAGAGCACAGTACACACAGCGACGAGACGGCTCTCCCCCACCTCACACACACACGTCCACGTGCAAACACCGCCACTCGTCCATATCACGCTGCAGGCCCAAATGATGCTTCGCGAGCACCTTTTGAGGCAGGCACGGCACACAAAGGAGTTGCGTAACCAGAACTAGACACACAGACCACGAGAGCCGTCGCTATTCATCCGGAAGCGTCCGTGGCGTTACCGCGGCGGTTGCGCCAGGCTAGGTACACTATTAGATTGCACAAAGCAGGCCAAACGTCTCCCATAGCCGCACAGATTTGGTAAGTGCTGTTATTGAGCACTGATTCAGGGCAGCAGAGCAATGTAGGGGGTGATGGCCATTACCACACCCAGCCACCTTTGTCTCCCGAGGCCTGATGTTTACATATTGCACCACGCACTCATTTTTTACGCCGATTTGTTGAGATATTTGGTACTGATATTAGCCGTGGCCAGGAATCAAACTCAGGTCGCTGGGATCATAGCGCAGAGCGCTAACCACTACACCATCACTCCCCCAAACGCGATCAAAAACAAAGATCCCCCGTATAGCCTTAACAGACTGTTGGGGCAAGTGCTGTTAGCGAGCGCCCCTTCGACACGCGAAGGGGTGGGTGGCCAGCACCATGCCTGACCTCCGTCTCCCCAGTGGCGATATTTACACACTGCACCAGGTAATCATTTGAGGCTGAGACGACCTAGGGGAGGCCCAGGCCCAATTCAGATAATTGTCACAAATACAAAACGAGGCACGCAAATACAAAATGCCGCACGCACCTGCACAGAAAATACAAAATGTCGCATGCATCTGCACGCACAATTACGCACACCACACGCGCAAAATGACGCACACCGCCCGCGCAAGCACACCGCGTGTGCGCGCGCACACACACGAATCATGCACAATGACACACGCACACACGAATCGTGCACAATGACGCACGCACACACACACACACCGCGTGCGCGCACACACACACGACACGCGCACAATGACGCACGCACACACACACACACGACGCGCGCACAATGGCGCGCGCGCGGGCACAATGACGCACGCACACACACACGGACACAGCGGCACGTGCAGACGTGGTGCCGACCTGGCTTGTCGCTGTGGTTGGCCACGTTGTTCTCCGCCACCGCCTTGGTGGGCGACGCGGTCGGAGTGGCCGCCTGCTGGCCGCCCGCGTTGGGCGAGGCGGCCGCGGCGCTGGCCGCGGCGCTGGCGGCGGCGTTGGCCGCGTTGACGACGGCGGTGGGGGAGCTCTTCCGGGGGTTGGTCACGCCGGGGATGTGCGGCAGCAGCGGGGGCGGCGTGCGCGCCAGCGGCGAGTTGCGGCACTCCATCAGAAACTTGCGGTCGTAGATGATGCGGGTGCCTGCGAGCACGGAGCGGGGCGGGCGCGTGTTCAGCCGTCACCGAGTTCGCACAGTAGGGGGCAGCGATGTTTTTTTCTTTCCCCAAGAGTCATTTATCAACATTTTTGAAAAATGTATAATTATTTAAATACAACTTTAAATGCGATGATGGCTTGCAGCCCTTCGACAACACTGCTGGATGAATGCCCCTCCCCACACAGCACGTCATCATGTGGGGGTTGTATGATCATACATCACCCAAGTTGGTCAGTGCAGGATGCAGAAGTGGGGGGGGGGGGGGGTTCCCGGGAGTGGTCTGACATGGTAGGCGTGCTGGGTGGGGAATCGAACGCTGGTTGCTGGGTTCGCAACACCGTGCGTCAACCATCGAGCCACCAATCCCGCCGCACCACGGCGCGAGTATATCCAACGCCTCTTTACGAAAACGGGCTGGCAGCCGTTTCTGGGGTACACACAATGCATCACTGTGCATTTCCCCCAAGCCACGTGGGATGATTTAAAGTCCCCCCAGCGACATAAAATAAAAATCTTGAAGAGCAGCAAAATAATTACCAAACGCCTCGAAATAAAACACCGCCCTCTTGCGCCACGCGGTCGTTCATTATAAACAATAACAACTATTTATTTACTCGGGAAAGCCAACCACACTTATTTTCAGGGAGGGTCCTGCTACACAGGAGAGATATTTGCCCAACACCAATGACGTGTGTTGTAATTGTGTTTGGCTCTGGGAGGAAACTGGAGGAGCCGGAGAAAACCCATGCAGATCAGATGGAGAAAACCCATGCAGATCAGATGGAGAAAACCTGCAAACCCCACTCAGAAAGGTGCCCACCACCCTGCCAGACCACACCAACCTCAAAGCATCGCGTCTCCTCGCAGATTTGTTTTGACTCAATCAGCTGCCGCAGTAATGAGCTCCATGGCAGAAGCGCCCCCTAACACCACAACACGTGCCATTCAAGATCCCCCCCCCCCCCCCCCCGCATGATGCAGGCAGAGCCAGAGCTGAGGCGGGGGGGGGCGAGCAGAGGCATTTGACAATTTGTACAAAAATGCGGCACGTGACCAGGCCAAAAGGCTCGAGCGCCGCGTGCCAGAGCAGGGAGCACACAAGGTCGCCCCAACAACACTCGCAGTGCCGCCGCCGCCGCCTCCTCCTCATTGCTTTTGTTTGCAAAGCCAGCTCGGGTCGGGCGGGCGAGAGAGCGGGTGAGCACATGGCGTTCCGATCCAACACTGTACACAGGCAACCACAAGTGCGAGTTGGTCACTCCCAAGCCTTCTGCAAGCAAAACAGGCAGAACAGGACTTGTCATTTCCAACGCCGCTGCTTTTTGTCAAACGCTTCTTGCAAAACTTGTGGGGTTTTTTTATCTTCCCACGAGAGCCTAAAGTGTCTCTGTTATTTTCTTATGGCGAGCCGATGGGGCCGGGCTACGTGCAAGACATACTGGCGGGCGCACGCTCGTAGTAAACAGGGTTCACGTTGCGTGGGGTGCCGTGTGGTGCCATTGCGCAAGCCAGGGGGGCGAGAGGTGCATTGCCATCTACGGATGCAAATGCGCCAAAACCGAATGTTAATTATTGTTAACCCATCGCTTCGCAGGTGTTCACCAGTTGTGCCGTCCAGTTCGTGGATGCAATTGTTTTACAATCTTTGTTATTACCGCCCTTGTTTTACAAAGGACAGTCTGACTGAAGAGTCCTGCCAATGTTCGCAGAAGGGACTGATGTTGCCATGTGCAATCCCAACTGAGTTGTGCAGCAATGGGATGATTGGCCAATACCAGTTACATAAGAGTTAGTTTTAGCCGTGGGACAAAAAAGGGCAGAGAACCCAGAGAATACCCAGCAGACGCTGCATACGAAGAGGAGACACTCCTGGCCCACAGCTCACAGCTGTACATCTACAACGCCTGGCAAGCACCAAAGGTGGTCACCCATCCAAGGACTAAGCAGGATCAACAATGCTTTCGAGAGACGACGTGATTGGGGTCACGGGTAATGATGACGATCCCATTAAAATCTGGTAAATCAACAACTCTGACATTGTTCGCTGGGTGAATGCTAAGCTTATGTCGTATTTTATATTTAGGTTGCAATGAAATAACGCATCGAACTCTGACACGGCTTCATGTGCGAGGCGCGAAACTAAACAGCATCTGCTCAAGTGGCCGTGCCCCAATGCTCATTCCCACTGCCCCCCCCTGCCAACTGTGGAAATTCCACAATCCACAAAGGGGGGCACAGTCTCTCCATAGGCCTAGTACACCGCCCATCGCCGTCTGTATCTGTGCAAAGAGTCGGTGGATAAGGGAACGAAAGCCTGGGCAGACTAAAGCAAGGCCAGTTATCGTCTCGTGCGGTCCCCATCGCCCGCCGGCCAGAACCCAGAGGCCACGGCACGGACGGACGGAGGGCACGTGCCAGGACATGCCGCCAGCGTGATGCACTGATACTCAAATCGCGCGACCAATACCCTCGTGGGCTGCGGCAACAGGAAATGACGCCGCACATTTTGTTGCCAGCGCCAAGTCAGTGGGAGTGGCGGGTTGTTTTTGTGGGAGGGGTGGAGCGAGGTCTGCAGATTTCAGTTTTTCGTTGAGTGTCCTCTTTCAAGCGATGACAAACCTCAACAGCTTTCCGCGGCTTTCCAATAAAAACAAACAAGAAACGGGCCGTGCGACACATTGCGCAACAGAACAGAGAAACACAGAGAGAGCGGCGACATCGCCGCAGTCCTGGAGCCGAGACGAGACCTCGAGGACGATTATTACTGCCGCTGCGCCGTGACGCACCCCCCACCCGACCACCCCTTCCAGTCGTACAGACAGCTGGGGCAAGTGTGATGTTAGCGAGCACGAGGGTGGTGGTGTTCACAGCACCACGCCTGGCTGCCTTAGCCTCCCCAGTGCCGATGTTAACACGTCACATCAGAGCACCCATTGAAAGGCAGAGGCAAAATAGGAGAGGCCCAGTATTGATTCAAATAATTTCCACTGATGTTAGCCTCTGCCATGAATCAAACTTGGTGAGCGGATTAATAGCGCACTGCCCTAACCACTGTCACTGCTCTTTTCTTTGTGAGCGTTCGTACGCACTAGCGCACTAGCTTAGTTTAAGCAGTGGTGTGGTCAGCATCACGCGCACGCAACAGCAGCCCCTGTTCAGTGCCAAATGTGAATGTCACCCATGACGCCTGTGACAGACCAAGTGCACGCTGAGGCCATGTGGAGTGGCAAACGTTCACCGCGAGGTCACGGAACAGACCCTTGTACAGCGGGTTACGTATTAATGAACAACAAAGATCCCACGGTTAACCTTGTGACCTCATGTGCAATTTCCATTGCAAGTTTCTACGAAGGCTGGAAGTGCACGATTGGGTACATCGGGTCAGAACCACGGCCAGCCACCTCTCTCTGTCTCTCGAGTGCTGATGTTTACATGCTGGACCAAGCAAGACAAGGATCCAGAGACCACGAGACACAAACGCGATTCATGGGACTACCACACACACACACACACGACGTACTTTCACACTGCAATGATCGTGAGTACACAGAGTTCAGGGATGGGTAATGGGTGAGGCCGTTAACAGTTACCCGGTAATTGCTGTTGACCACAGGCGATAACCGGTTACCAAAGTCAGGAACCGGTTGTTGTTTTCCAGTGAATTTTCGTCAAAACACCGATTGGCACACGCACACACGCACGCACGCACACGCTGTACAAACCGCAGGGTACATGTTCTCATGTCTCAGTTACGGGGTAAGGGTGCAGCCCTGAAATGCCTTGCTCACACCACTGCCGGTGGAGTGGCCTCCACTGAAGTGAGTCTCTGGTTGCAAATTCAGTGCACTAACCATGACACCGCGGCAGCTTCCTTCGTTTCTCGATTAAAAAGGTTAACAAACGTGTTTATTGCTAAACAATGTGTCTACACTAGGTAAATCAGTAACCGTTTAAACCCGTTCTTTTCCGTCAGTTACCAACAACGTTAAAAACCATTCTGAACAACCCTAGTAATGGATAATGTAAGCTTATGTATTTAGCTCATTCTACGAGATAAACTTCTGCAATAAACCGCGGGCCCCTGGGCGTCCTGGCTCCTTCCCACCCCGGCTCTGGCCTACGTCCCAATGGGGCCGCCGCCGCCGCCACTGCCAGGAGAACAACAACATTCAATGAAGTCGGAGGGCTGGTTTGCTGGCACATTGGCGCGTTACGTAACAGTGGCGAGGATTGCGGTTTAAATCGGGTAGGCCGCCTTAGTTATGACTGCACATGTAAAAACGTCCAATACTACACGCCGTCTGTTTCACGGTGAACGCTAAAGATCGCCTGACGTCACATGACGATTACACATTTACCAAAAGTCGAAACAATCCACAGCAAAATACTCCTTTGGAAAACACATGGCAACATCGGCCAACACTGCAAACGTACTGCAGTCCGTCAAGCTCAGCGCCCTCACGAGTCTTGCGCTATAAGTATGGAACAAATTCCAAATGTTTAAATGATAATTGCGAGTAACCAGTCGCAAAGTGGCCCGCAGTGCACCACATGTTACAATGGCCAGCAACAACCAGCACTACCAAAGTTGTAGATGCTGCTTAAGGGTTAACAGGCTTCTTGAAATGTGCAAGGTCACAAGAGCTTTGGGAAAAGAGATGGGAGGGAATCCCAAAGTGGAGCAGAGCGAGGGAAGAAGCAGAAAGAGGGGCGTTGTTGTGACCTGCAGTGTGGCGAGTGAACACAACGGGGATGAAAGGTGAAGCAGCCTCGAGCAGAGAGCGCGTCCTCGCACCACGGGTGGAGGGATCAATAAGCGAAGATCACAGGAAGAGAAACCACGGCAATACCGAGAACAGGGTTGAGGCGACTCGCCGCAGGTGGATTCAATTAGCGAAGTGCTGGATCAGTCACCCAGTCGACTGCCTCACGGCGAATTCGACCGAGCGCAACGAGGCAGGGGGCACCGGGTGCTTGGTTTTCC